GTTATATCCGTCAGTTCGTTATAAGCGTGTTCGTTATAACCGTAGTTTACTGTATCAGGAAATCGGTTCCCATTTAGTGAGGAAAGCCCAAAGTCATGCCGATGATGCTGACAAACCAGGAAATCATACTCAGGGCAATTCAGGGCTTTGCAAGATCATACAGTCATATCATACTCGTATGATTCGTCACAACTCGCCCCTTTCCGTAACCTGCAAGAAGACTCGATCCCCTTTGTAATGTGCGAAGATACGACAAGCGAGTCAGGATGCGCGTATGACTTCAAGTACTTCGGTCAAAGAATCCCTCAGTAATAATTTTTGATTTTACATGTCCTGCATTTAAAAATATACCCACGATACAGTTAAATGTGTTCAATCATACTGGAAGTCCCGATGTGATTCAGTGGCCCCATTATTATATATGAAATATGGGGGAAATATACGTGAATCATTACGCAACGAGTTGACCATTCTTTTACCTATGACCGTTTGCGCTTAGACGGAACACAGTCGCAACAAAATGGCCACGAGTGGGAAACGAGTCTCTATATTCAGCTTGTCCGGGAATAACACGAGTAGGTCATGAATGATACTCGTTTATAATAAGGCATGTCTCTTCTCAACATCTAATGTGGATAAACGACGCATTGTACGACCACATGTCACGTGATGGATGTAAGTCTCCTTGTCCTTTAGCGTGCAAAGTTCGTTAGTTCATGCACTTACGTCACACAGACTTGAAGTGTCAACGGTAACCGACATATATCATTTCACAAGCATAACGTCAGCTCCGTGTCTACACAAACAGTGAGTCAACACAAGACGCCGGTGAACAGGCCGATACCTGACATCGACGGATGGAAATAGCTTTTTTAACCATGAATTTTATATGACGATCGATTAGGACACCACAGCCACGTGGAATATAATATCTGCTGCGGGCTCCCATCTTACAGGTAACTTCAATTCAACAAGGGGGCGTTCGGACCCGTGAAGATCCGGGGTAGAATAGGTCTTCAGCAACCCATGCTTGCCGTAAAAGACGACTATGCTTGTCGTAAGAGGCGACTAACGGGATCGGGTGGTCAGGCTCGCTGACTTGATTGATGCATGTCATTGTATCCCAATTGCGTGGATTGGTGCTCATGATATCAATCACTGGGTTGTCTGGTCCAGACTCGAATATTTACAGACCGCCGTCATATAGCTGGAATTTTTATGAGTGCGGCGTTAAACAACAAACAAAAAAACAATAGAAAACTTGCATAGAAAACAGTTTTATTTGAATTATGAAAATACATCTTGGGGACATTTGAATGTCAGGGGATAGACTGGTCACTATTTTTAGGGATGGTGGACCGGTGAATAAAAGAAATGACACAGTACTATTTTGTTTCAAAAATTACACATTGATCTTTTGAAAATAAAATAATTCTAAATTTATACTTTAAATATAAAATGTACTGAATTATTATTGAAAAGCAAATTTAAAAATATGGAATATTATTTGAAATATTACGTTTAAATGTTAGTGCCGGTGGGTTGGGCGGTATTAAAACCATACACCGCGCGTTCATATTTCGGTCACAGGGGTCAGAAGTAGTGAAAAATGTTACTTAAAACATCGATTAACATGATTAAATTATTTAAAAAATCCATCACAGTTACCAGGTAAATATGTACACCTTATACACGTCTGTTTTCTGTATTTAAAAAACAACTAATATACACAAGAAAATACGAACTGTTAATTAGTTTTTCTGTTTTAGTTGTAAACACTTACAGATTGGCCAAGAAGTTGACAAGGAGGCTCATATCGGAGTAGGGCGCTTAATACATCGAATACGGTATATGATATTGCGAATGAATGTCCAAGCCCTTAGCTCTATAGTAATCACGGAAATGAAAAAAAACCCTGTTTTTTCGACCTCAAATCTTAAATATATGCAGTTAATATACAATATATGTAAATATTCAAACAACTAAATTAGTACTAATTGGGCCGTGGCACAAATACAGCGTATCAAATGTTTTTATGCCTTTTTACACGTAAAAGTGTGTAAAAAAGTGAATAAAACAGACTATTGTGAAACAGAGCATAACCAGGTGTAAGTAGATAAAGGTGACCTATGACACCTTGACGACATGTGAGAACAGGTGCATAATGCCTATAGTCTGTTTCTGCTATGTCAATTTGGACTTAGTTTTATTTTTGAATGTTGAAAGTGCTGACAAATTACCTCCTGTAAAGTACATTTTGTATTGTTCACTGAGATCAAAATAGCAAATCCAGACTAGTACTTTTCGAGTTGTTTTGTTATTTCGTATTTACAGCTACGTAACACTTTGTGTCGATTTTCAAATTGAGAAAAACAGGGTTTTTTTCATTTCCGTGAGTACTTTTTGGTACTATCGCGTGCTGTCTGTCTTTCCTTCCTTCTTCCTGAAGTAAAACAATTCATTCAGCACAAGGAACACGTGCAGCAGATGTAAACGAAGACATTGCATTTGATGCAACCATTTAATGCTCGAAATTCTACAGCTCGTGTAACGGGTCTGCAGATTATATGTGCGTGGTGCACGTGCGTAAATGCTGCTATCGATTCTTACGCATGTAAAGGAAAGACACAATATATTGTAAGTTGTCGTTTTCAAGCGATGTCGTTTCAGCCGAAAGCGTTCGGGTATTCCCGGCTTGCATGTTGCATTCGTGATCCATTCGTGATCAACTCGTGTTACTCCGGGACAAGCCGAATAGCGATCTTCTTGCAGGTTACGGAAAGGGGCGAGTGGTGACGAATGATTCGTGATCAACTCGTCCCATTCCGGGAAAAGCCGAATGTAGACGGCTCCCTGCGCGAATCAACAGTTAGATCCCTGGGGCGCGGCTCTCTAGGTCTTGTAGGTAAAAAGTTACGATGACTACACGAACCAAGGCCGAATACAGAGAGTTAGGGTTTCATGCTGTGTACCTGCACGAGTTTCCATTTGAAAAAAACGGGATCGGGAGGACTGGCTCGATGCTCATGTCAATCACGGGATTGTCTGGTCGAGACTCGTTTATTTACAGACCGCCGTCATATAGCTGGAATATTGCTTAGTGCGGCGTTAAACAACAAACAAACAAACATATTCATACTTTTTAAAGCCAGTATCACATAATTTAGGGAGATTGTGCAAATATTCTCTGTATTAATTTGATAGACATGTCCACTAAATCAACTTGTTATGTAGTGTGAGGTGCTTCTCAAATGTTTGCCTCACAATTTTGCCTATTATTAAACCAGTTGCTTAAAGCAGACACTAACGGACCCAGATAAGCCTCTGGGGCATAGTTTTTTTGTTAGTTAACTTTTTTTGACAGGGGGGGGGTAGGACCCTGGTACCCACAGGACTACCCGGACCCGTGGTTAGTCATGTGATATATTGTTTCATGACAAAAAATCACTATATAACTACATGGTTACACAACAATTTTAAGTCTCTAATGTTTGCATTTCTTCATGGCCATGAAGAGTGCATACATAAGTCACGCCCACTCATGAATATTGTAGACTTCAGACAGTTGTAGGTTTAAGGGCACAACACATGTTCCTTCTGACTTTTATGTTTGAACAAAGCTAAAACTTCAGTCAACTTCAGTGTATGCATGGCCACATCGTTTTATATGTGTATCTAAGTACATTCTGCCAGGGCTACTGTCAAACTATTCCCAATCAGACATTTTGTACCTATCTCTTGACACCAACAGTGGGTACCCAGGTAGGGTCGAGTAATAGGGGTGTGGTAGTAAATTTGGACTCGTCCAAGCCCTACTCCCCGCTAGACCGCCTCCGTGGTCTAGTGGTAGAGCGTCCGCCCAGAGAGCGGAAGGTCTGGGGTTCGATCCCGGCCTTCATACCAAAAGACGATAAAAGATGGTACTTGTTGTTACCCTGTCTGGCGCTCGGCATTAAGGGGCTAAAACAAGGACTGGTCGGGTACTGTGTCTGAGTGGGATATTCATGTTAAACTGCGGCAAGTTATCTCAGTGAGCTAGCACTATAAATCGGCATCAGTCCGGACTAGTACAAGCAGCCACACAAACACACACGTACAAGCAAGTCGCTATGTAAGTGCAATAATCTTGGACGCGACGTTAAACCCCATTTCACCTCACCTACTCCCCGCTACTTATAAATAAATTACCAGTCCTTGAAAACTGTTCAAATTAATTAAAAAAATATATTTGGAAAAATCGAACTGTGACATTTTTTTCTTGTTTGGAAAACTGAAGAAGTTATCAGTCCGTAGCTTGCTGTTACGTTGGACGAGCTGACGGGTGGTGGGATAGCCTCGTGGTTAAAGCGTTAGCTAGTCATGCCAAAACCCAGGGTTCGATTCCCATTTCTGGGGTTCTCCGTTGATATTGCTGGAATATTGATAAAAGTGGCTAAAACTCAAAATGTTAAAAAAATCGCATTACCCAAAGAAATATCTATGAGGCCATGGACTTTTTGTATTGATTCTCCTCTACACAGGTCGCTTGTTACTTTTGATCACGTGATCCACCATTTCTTTTCAAAATGCTGTGTCTGAGACGTGTTCACATACCATGGACCTGTAAAGATCCATGCTAGAAAAGGCCTTCAGCAACTTATACCATGGGTTTTGGCGGCACGGGTGGCCCAGTCGTCTAAGGCGCCGCAATTCGCTGTGCAGAGTTGCGTCCCTTGGGCACGCCAGAAACCTATGATTGTGGGTTCGAATCCCGGTTGATCCCGATTATGTTGCTAGGTTTGTCAGCACCATACCCGTGCACGCGGGTTTCACCAAAGTGGTAAACGTCTGAGACCTGCATCACTTCGGGCTTTCCTCCCACATTAAGCTGACACGCCGTGATATAACTGGAATACTGTTAAAAGCGGCGTTAAATTAAACCCAACTCACTCACTCACTCACTGCGTCTGTGCTGTAGAGTAAACTTCAAATGATCAACTTATTTTCCTATTTTGTTTCAGTCCAAGTGAATACGTTCCTCCAGCCAACCAGCATAATTGATAACGTGACGGAGACGTTGTTAGTGAGATGCACGCTCGAGGGCAACAGTGACGACACCCTGACAGCTCAATCACTCACTCTATCCTTCAATAAGCCGTCATCGGTAGGTCCAAAACAGCATGCAAGCGTGGCACGTAACGGCGCTCCCCAGCTGAGTACTGACATCTCAAACCGAGCAACAGTTGAAGGGTCAATCAATACAGATTCCGTGACAGCATCCTTCTTGAACCTGAGGTTCAACAACGTGTCATGTGCTGATGTCGGGACATACACTTGCAAGTTCACTTACCAGAATGATACGATTATGATGATGATGGAAACACCAGGAAATGTATCTGGGACATGTGAGTTGTTTTTTTATTTGCTTTTTGTATGTTGCAATCCCTAAACAAACATTTTGTACCAGCCATACCATATCACAACAAACAAACAAACAACAATTTATCAGTTACCTCCAATTATGTCTATTTTTGTTCTTTAAGTTAAGTTTGAAGGATTCCAGATTGTAAATATTGCTTTGCAAACATGTATGGACTTTTTCTTTTTGATTAATATTTATCCTTGACAAGAAATATAAAGGTCCTTTAATGAAAGTAATTATCAAATCTTATAGTACAGAACACTCCATTACTTTACAAAACCCGTGAAGATTCCAGGGTAGAATAGGTCCAACCAATGCTTGCCGTGAAAGGCGACTATGCTTGTCGGGTGGTAGGGCTTGCTGACTTGGTTGATGCATGTCATCGATCCCAATTGCTCGGATCGATGCTCATGATGTCAATCACAGGATTGTCTGGTTCAGACTTGATTATTTACAGAGCGCCATCATATAGCTGGAATATTGCTGAGTGTGGCGTTTAGCACTTGTTTATATATACAATGTATGTATATGTAAAAAGATCTGATTCATAAAAAATTGACGGAAACTGCAGAACCAGCTGTGCTTGTGATGTTGAGGATTATTCAGTGTAATCGAAACATCACTCCTGTTTTACAGCCCGGCCAGGGAGGATAGAAGTGCGCCATGAACCGGTGAAGCCCAAGTACATGGTTGGAGAAGATGTGACCTTGCACTGTCAGGCCAAGGTCAGCAAGCCTGCAGGAGAATGGTCTTGGCAGAGATTGGAGGGCGTGAGTGAAATTATCTTTAAGTTATTAAATTTAAGGCTGAGAATGCATTATTGTGTCAATGTTTATTATATTGAACTTGCGTTCGCAAACTTATTATAATAAATGGTCCTGACATGGAAAATGAACACATATCATTTACTTAAAAAATAGCCAATGAGCTACGAGGAATTGCGGATTATCTGTCACGAGTGAATGAACAGTGTTGATCCCGAGTCAAAGGACAGCTATTTGTTATTCCGAGTTCCGAATAGGTTTTCCTATACATTACTCATTGACATTTTAAGAGAGAAAATTAAGAAAATATGGTAAATGTCAAATGAATGGCCATTACCCAGCATATATTTAGCTAGCGCATCACATATGGCCATCATCCATCATATATTTAGCTGGTGCATCACGTATGGCCATTATCCAGCATATATTTATCTAGTGCATCAGGTATGGCCATTATCCAGCATATATTTAGCTAGTGCATCACATATGGTCATTATTCAGCATATATTTAGCTAGTGCATCACGTATGGCCATTATCCAGCATATATTTAGCTAGTGCATCACGTATGGTCATTATTCAGCATATATTTATCTAGTGCATCAGGTCTGGTCATTATCCAGCATATATTTAGCTAGTGCATCACGTATGGCCATTATCCAGCATATATTTATCTAGTGCATCAGGTATGGCCATTATCCAGCATATATTTAGCTAGTGCATCACGTATGGTCATTATTCAGCATATATTTAGCTAGTGCATCACGTATGGTCATTATTCAGCATATATTTAGCCAGTGCATCGTCCGTTCTGTAAATATGGATCTGAGTTTTTAGATATGGATGAATCACTCTTGGAATTCGATGAGTTAAATTTACTAAGTTTATAATCCACCAATCTTAGCGCTAAGGTGATCGATTGTAACTCCCATACTTTAACAAAGGCTTACGATAGTCGTAGCACTATGATCGCGTTGTGGGAGCCTGTTACCATTCCGGTTGTCTGACTGAAAATGTTGGTGAATTTTATACACAGCTGAGTCACAGTTAATTCAATAAATCTAAGACTATACAAAAAATACAAAAAACATAAGAATTTGATGCCGACCTGGGGCCTGTTCCACAAAGCGATCTTAGTGCTACGACTGTCGTAAGATCACTGTAAGGAACAGGGCCCTGGTATGGGAGCCACGATCATCTTAGCGCTAAAATCGCTTTGTGGAACGGGCCCCTGTGGCCAAATCTTTGTCTCGGAGCGGGTCTAGATAACTTTTGTATTATCTTTCACCACAGGAAGTCTGGAAGCCGTACACGAATGGTGTGTCCCAAGATGCACCCGCCCTTGTGACGGACTGTGCTTACTTCCGCACCACATCGCTCGTGTATAGGATCGCAACTGAAGAGGAGACCAAGTTTCGTTGCATCATCAACAACGACATCAGTTACTCCATGGAAACAAGCATCAACGGTGAAGTGAATGGTAGGTGGAGTAAACACATCAGGGCCCACTTGCACAAAGCGATCTTAGCGCTAAGATGATCGTAACTCCCATACCAGGGCCCTGTTCCTCACAGAGATCTTAGCGCTAAGATGATGGTAACTCCCATACCAGGGCCCTGTTCCTTACAGTGATCTTAGCGCTAAGATGATCGTAACTCCCATACCAGGGCCCTGTTCCTCACAGCGATCTTAGCGCTAAGGTGATCGTAACTCCCATACCAGGGCCCTGTTCCTCACAGTGATCTTAGCGCTAAGGTGATCGTAACTCCCATACCAGGGCCCTGTTCCTCACAGTGATCTTAGCGCTAAGATGATCGTAACTCCCATACCAGGGCCCTGTTCCTCACGGTGATCTTAGCGCTAAGGTGATCGTAACTCCCATACCAGGGCCCCATTCCTCAAAGCGATCTTAGGAGGAACAGCGATCTTAGCGCTAAGATGATCATAACTCCCATACCAGCTAGGGCCCTGTTCCTCACAGCTATCTTAACGCTAAGGTGCTCGTAACTCCCATACCAGGGCCCTGTTCCTCAAATTGATCTTAGCGCTAAGGTGATCATATCTACAATACTTTACCATAGGCTTACGATCATTCGTAGCGCTAAGATCGCTTTGAGGAACAGGGCCCAGGCTTCAAAGTTGCAAACTAAAATGGTAGCCAATGCGACCTAAATTTCAGTTTGTCTTCTGTCTTAAATTCAGAGGTAGCCAAATGACTACCTAGAAAAATATCTTGTGGCTACACATCTGTAGACACAAAAATAAATAAACACACCTGCTAATAATTGTACTCACAAATAATTCCTTCTAAAGTCAACAGCGAACCAAAATACATAGATATTAATGTAATTAGTACTTTATTTTAGTTGATAGTTTATTTGATAAGTGAGAATATACCTATATAATCTAGTTACATACATTTTATCATTGTTCAAGTCACAAGTAACAAAATTCAAGTTCAGTTTCCATTAAGATACAATTTCAAGACAATTTCAAGTGCTGTAACTTGTACATATTATAGTTATTTGATGAAGATAATTTCAAATGCTTTTGGCTACCTACAATATGGGCTTGACTTCTTGATTTTACCACTGGCTACCTGGTAAAAAATACTTGTAGCCATATGGTTACTTGGTAAAAATGTAATCTTTGAGGCTTGCATTCTTTAACATAGGCTTACAATAGTTGTTTTACTAAGATCACTTTGTGCAGGTGGGCCCAGGGTTTGAAATCCCTTGTATAAGACTAGCTAGGGCTGGGATGGGTAACTCGGGTACTTCGGTCGGTTGGTATTGAGTAGGACCCGGGTACCCACAGAACTACCCGGACCCGGGGTTAGTCACGTGATTATATTGTTAATGGCAAAAATTATCTTGAACTCTATGGTTACACTATAAGTGACAAATGTTTACATTTCTTTCCGACTAAGCACCCATTCTTTCTGACTTTATATGTTTGCATAATGATAAAACTTCAGTGCAGTTCAGTGTATGCATGACCAGATCATTTTATACCTGTATCTAAATACATTTTGACAGGAGTATGGTCAAATGTTTCCCAATCGGACATTTTGTACCTATGTCTTGAGACCTACAGCGGGTACGCGAGTAGAGTCGGGTAATATGGGGGTGGGTACCCGGGTAGTAAATTTGGACTCGTCCCAGCCCTGTGACTAGCCAATGCCTTTTAGAAAACAATGTAACACAATTTAAGGATTACAACTTTAATTACTGTAAAGGTGCGTTTGGAGAAATCCTTTATACCATGGTACAGAATATACAGTCAAGTCTCGTTAATCCGACAATCGGCTTTATCCGACACTAATGATGGGAACCGATTAAATCAGTGCTATTAAGACCCGTTAATCCGACAGTCTCGCACTCCGACTCCGACACAGCTAATTTGAGACGAAGTACCGAAATCACTCATTAATCAGTCTCGTTAATCCGACACAGTGATCAGCGTACTCCGTGGTCATCTGCCCGCGAGTACACAGCCGGTGTTATGAAGCAATTGTTTTGTGTTGAGCTTTAGAGGTTGCATGATTAGACAACATATTCTGTTAACAATGTAACATAACAATATGAATATTACATTTTTATTTTTTATTACGTGTTTGTATCGTTATCTATCGCGTAGTTGTCCGATTTTCGATCACGCTAGTTGATACTACTTGATTTTGTTTATCTGACATACTCGTTAATCCGACATAATCATATACAACCAACAATGTCGGATTAACGAGACTTGACTGTATATAGTAGGTGGAGGATTAGCAGAAACAACAATTACATACATACATGAGAGAGTGAGTGAGTTGAGTTTAACACCGCTTTTAACAGCAATCCAGTTATATCGTGGTGTGTCGGCTCAATGTGGGAGGATCGTTCGAAGTGATGCAGGTCTCAGACGTTTACAACTTTGGTGAAACCAACGAGCAGGGGTATGGTGCTGACAAACTTAAAAACATAATTGGGGCAACCAGGATTCGAACCCACACTCATAGGTTTCTGGCGTGCCCAAGGGTCGCAACTCTGCGAAGCGAATTGCAGCGCCTTAGATGACTGGGCCCCCCGTGCCCCCCCTTACTGTGAGAATGTGGGCATGGAATGCCCCCAGTTATAATGCCACCCTGGGTATGTCGCCCTCAGTTATAATGCCCCCAGTTATAATGCCACTATGGCTGGTACGCCACCCCAGTTATAATGCCACCCTCGGTATAATGCCCCCAGTTATAATGCCACCCTGGCCAGTATACCACCCTGCATATAATGCCCCCAGTTATAATGCCACCCTGGCCAGTATACCACCCTGGATATAATGCCCCCAGTTATAATGCCACCATGGCCAGTATACCACCCTGGATATAATGCCCCCAGTTATAATGCCACCATGGCCAGTATACCACCCTGGATATAATGCCCCCAGTTATAATGCCACCATGGCCAGTATACCACCCTGGATATAATGCCCCCTGTTATAATGCCCCCCTGGCCAGTATACCACCCTGGATATAATGCCATCCTGGGTATAATGCCCCCAGTTATAATGCCCCTCGCTAGTATGACACAATGGCTACAATGCAATTGTTCTTCATGACCAAAGGTTCAACTCCCTGGTTATAATGCCATTTGGTATTTATTTTTTCAGGTACAACTGGCAATGTAGTCCATTTTTTGGAGATAATTCCTTCTTCTAAATCAAGAAACATAATTCATTCCTCTTAGTTGTATTCACACTTTCTTAGAATAACAAACAAATTAGTTTGATGTTAATGGTACCATCCATTTCTGTGATAATATCCTCAACTGCCATTCTTTCAAACATTTTATTATGAACATTATGTTGGAAATGAATATATACAGTCCTCCCTTGTTTTAATGCCACCCTGGGTATAATGCCATATTTTCCGCTGGACGAAAGGTGGCGTTATAACCAAGGACGGCTGTATTTCATCCTTTCAAATTTTGCAGTCCATCGATATGATATGTATTTTAATTTTGAAATTGCAATTTGCTGTGCTCTCTATTTGCAGGTGGTCACCCATTGATTATCTCCCCTGTTCTCGTGATGCTGGCCATCTTGTCTGCCACCTGGCGGTGAAAAAAGAACTCAAGGGAGATAACCATCATTCTCATCATCGCATACAAGTACATCAACCCATTTATGTTCAACTGTCAGACCTGAGTGATGATTGGCACAATTTAAAATAACACAACTCACAACATAAACATTGTGAAGCTAATTTGTGTACATCTTCCCGAGGCAAAAGCATCCATTAGCCTTTTTATCAAAGTCTTGTATCCACCCTTGCCACATCAAACCCACTTTCCTGTGCTAAATATGATTGGAGTATCGCACACATCGTCCAATCAGAGAAAGTTTCACAAAATTAACAACCACGACTGTACACCTTCGTATGAAAGTGATTTACCCTGCCTGTCCTTGTTGACATGTCTTTTTCATCTTTTAAACAACTCAACGATTGCCTCTGTTTTTGTGTAGGGATGAAATTACGAATGTTTTTGTTATCTGTTCAACGAGGTCGTCGCCTAAGGTAGTCGCCATTTTTGTGAGAGTATACGAGAAAAGAACAGCTGATCTGTGCGAGGAGTTGGCGCCAGGGTCGCGGCAAGAATAGTGGCCTTGATGTGGCATCGTGGAAACTAGGCTGTGATGTAGGCTAGTGGAAGTGGACATGCTTGTGTAATGTAGTGTGAATGAAAGTACATTTCAGAGAAGGTACCAGTCTACTAATCTCATTAAAATCAGATCTTGGTTCTCGCTACCGCTAAACAAAGATCTGAGGACATCCCATTACGGGTCACGTCAGACCGACCTTGCGCGAACTTTGACCGATCAATGGAATGACCAATCAGAAGGCAGCTTTCTCGTGCTTTACGGCACTAATTCCAAATTGGTGACTGCGCTTCGAAACGTATTTTGACAAATTCTCGATCACAAATTTGAAACCTGAACAAAAGAACATTCTGGAATGGCTAATAGATGACCTAGATTGTATGGATACAGTCGTTGAAACCGTAACTATCATTCAGAGTTAATGTTTTCCAGGCTGCATGATCAGAAATCACATTCCGACTGTCACTTTCATAATCTGGTAAGGGATGCTCTGATTGGTCGGATGAAAGGTCATTCTGACGTGACCCGTTATGTCCTCATATCTTTGTTTAGCGGTAGCCTTAACTGAGGTCTGATTTTAATGAATTTGATTTACGTCTGAAGTGTGAAACTGGGACAACGTCTTCTGTATTTTTGTGAGCATAATGTGCACCCTGTCTAGAGAATGCAGTATTTTGGAGAAAAAAATATTTTTCTACTATTACGCGATGTTAAAGAAATTTGTCTCGCTTCAGGTCCAGTCATGTGAAACTTGTGATCATAAAATTTAAACCTAAAGTTTAGTTCCTGCTCTGCTAGGTTTTGCTATACCGTATTCGCCGTAATAAGCGCCCAGGGCGCTCTCAAAATTAGAAATAAGGGGCTCTTATTAGAATATAATTTTGGTGAGATTAAAAACAGAGTTGAAAGATTGTAAATTTTGTGGTTTATGCTGACAGCCTGAAATGATATAAAAGAAGAAGCTGTGCGTATTATACACGATAGACATATATTCGAGAATTTAATGGCCCATAATTAAGGGTGCTTATCATACACGAATAAATAAGTCTTGTGTACATTGATCCAGCAATCGTCCAGCTGCTAATTAGGATTGTTCACTAGCCAATATATTAGTAAATATCGCCGTGGGCGCTTATTAGAGCGGGGCGCTTATTACGTCGAATACGGTATATTTGAAATTATGATTACTGTTTGTCTTGTAAACTAAGCCAGAAATAGCAATCAGCTGTACACACATTTTCTTCCCAATCTACAGGTGACGCAGTTAAAAAATAGTCAGTAAAGAATGATCGGAAGACATGGTATCTTAAACTATTAACTATATTACAATATGTGGTTATTTTTTTTTTTTCTGCATCGTTAACAAAACGTATTTAAAATATTAATAACCCTAAGCCTACAATTCAGTATATTGCCGGGAACCATCTATTACTTTAGAGCCAGACCAGTTCTTAGACAGTCAAGGGATTTTTCTTAGAGGTGAATATTTTGGCATTCACTACTTCCAATTTGTTTTTATCTATGACCTTATTATCTTAGCATTACAGTGGCTTACAACTACAAAAAATATACCTCATGGCAATTGACATTTCGTCAGTCTCTGTCCAATCTTTGTAATCTCTACAGTTCAAGCTCCTTACTGTGTTGTGTTTGGTGTTGTATACATTGACTCAAGATGCACGTGATGCACAGAGCTTAAACATGAGGAAAATGTCATTTGGGAATAAGACAGACAAACGTGTGAGATTGAGGTGAATGATAAACATGGATGTAAGATATATTTGTTGTTCCCTCAGTGTGGCAATGTACCTGAAGACAGAAGTCTTGTACATCCACTCGCAATAAGCCTACAAGTTAAATAATACTTGAAGACTGAGGGGCCGAGGGTGGCCCAGTCGTCTAAGGCGCCACGATTTGCTGTGCAGAGTTGCGTCCCTTGGACATACCAGAAACCTATGATTGTGGGTTCGAATCCCGGTTCGCCCCGATAATGTTTCTAGGTTTGTCAGAACCATACCCGTGTCCGTGGGTTTCACCGAAGTGGTAAACGTCCGAGACCTGCATCACTTCGGGCTTTCCTCCCACATTAAGCTGACACGCTGTAATATAACGGGAACACTGTTAAAAGCGGCGTTAAACCCAACTCACTCACTCACCTTAAGACTGAAGTATTTACAGCTCGGTGTCATATTGCTGGAACATTTGCTTGTGACAATATTTCTGCACGGTCAAGCAGGGACACCTGTCTCGTCAATAGTATCATAGTTAGCTTCAGCAATACATGATTCTTTTAAATCAAGCCTTTGGGGCTCACACATTCAGGGTTTCTACTGCCGTCCTTGGTAGGACCATTCCCGATTAAAATTTGTCAAAAGTCTGATCAAGATCCTGTGATTCATGGTTGAAAATTCACAAATAATCACATTGGCGGATACAAAGTGTGTGTGTGTGTGTGGGGGGGGGGGGGGGGGGGGTTGCGCTACTACCCCCCTTTTTATTTCGAAAAAAATCTTTATTTCCGTATAAATTACCACCAAAGACAATAAATAGATCTTAATTGTGCACCCCCTTTTCAAAAAAGCTGTATTCGCCCATGAATCAGATATTGTTCAGGAAGCAACCCGATTCAGCTGTTTTCATCCGAATTCATCCCGATTCTCCCCCTTCTCCCCTTGTCCAAGGGTTTATCATTCACTTTGCAGAGTTGCTTCTCTTTGTTGTGACTCCCAGAATTGCCATGATTAGGATCCTGTCTGGCGGCCATGCTGACAAGCAAAAGAATTTTAAATTCAAAAGTGTCCATTTTTTCATCACCCTACCAAAGATGTGTCTTATTTTTTATGACCCTCCCAAAAACTCACTCTGACCAATTTTATAAATGACCGGTCCCCAATCAAATGTTTCCGTGGAGGCCGATGGGAAGTCAGATATCAAATGCCGAGTGGGGTTTCCAGGACAGATTAAATACGATCGACTAACTTTGAGATTGGCTAGTTGGCTAGTTGGCTAGTCCTGTGAGTAAGCTGAGTTTGTACCTCATTTACACTTTTATACGTTCACATTTATAAGCCTCACCTTTCAAAACAGATCCCCAGGATTCATGCTTGGGGATTCAAGGTTATGATAGGTCCCAGCAATCCATGCTGGTCATAAGAGGCTGGGTTTTTTATGATCCCTTTAACCCAAGAGTTGCATACCTTGGGAACGCCAGAAACCTGTGATTGTGGGTTCAGATCTTGGTTTGCCGCTTCTCTTGGGGTTAATAACTTCAATGTGAAAGTCTGTCCTCCATGTGCCTCCATTGTGCTGTCTTGAATGTTTTGTGGTTAATATACTGAAGGGCAAAAGAAATGCATACGTACTGATGAAATTTGAAAAGTGTTATTTCGTAGTCTGTCAGTGGTCCCATTACTGGTTATTACCAGTTTTTACCAGCTTTGACCGGTAATACATGTGACTGCCAGTGAGTGTGGATCGGCAAATAAAGTACCTTATTGGTCTGCTTGTCTGTTACCATCAGGGTTTCCCCTTTTCTATTTTTAGTGCAAGGAAATAACATTTTGTAGATGTAGTGACTTATTCTCGAAATATTCAAAATCGACGAAAAACGGTTACTGAACTTTGTGAGAATGACGTGTACATCCAACTACATCCAGAGATGACGTCATACCATTGAAAGAATTAAAACCAGGTCATTTTCATATGTTGTTTACCCACTCACTCACTCACTCACAGGTGATGGAGAAACAGAGTGTATGCCAGATCATGACGAAGCAGGTGCATCAAATCTGTGCGCTCTGTATACTGTATACTGTATACATTAAATATCAGCTCACTCTGTATATGAACTTATATCATCATCTATTATTATTTTTATTATTATCATTATATATATTATCATGCACTGTCATCCTTGTACTCAAGGTCGAAAGTATGAACATCATAGCTAAAGTTTATGCTTCTGTTCAAAATCTGCCAATCAGTTTTATATTATGATGCTCTGTCCTTGTACTCAAAGTCAAAGTATGAACATGATCAGTATATTGTTTATTTGTTTATTTGTTTATTGATAGGTGGGAAAGTAATCAGGTAACAGGCTTCACACGTTTGTTTGTTTGTTTGTTTGTTTGTTTGTTTGTTTGTTGTGAAATGACGCACTTAGCAATATCCCAGCGGTATGACGGCAGTCGGTAAATAATCGAGTCTGGACCAGACAATCCGGTGATTGATGTCATGAGCATCGATCCACACAATTGGGTTTGGTTTGTTTGTTGTTTAAAGACGCACTCAGCAATATCCCAGCGATATGACGGCGGTCGGTAAATAATCGAGTGATTGATGTCATGAGCATCTATCCACACGATTGGGTTTGGTTTGTTTGTTGTTTAACGCCACACTCAGCAATATCCCAGCGATATGACGGCGGTCGGTAAATAATCGAGTCTGGACCAGACAATCCAGTGATTTACATCATGAGCATCGATCCTCGAAGTTGGGGTACGATGACATGTATCAACCAAATCAGCTGGGCCTGGCCACCCAAGCGTTAGTTGCCTCTCGACAAGCAGTCGCCTTTTACAGCATGCATTGGTTGCTGAAGACCTATTCTACCCCGGATCTTCATTAGGTTGTACGAATTAAAGAAACCAGATCCTTGTCATGACAAACCAATACTATAAGACGACCTATATCATGTACTGTTACTGTTGACTTGGGGGTAAAAATGCTTTCTTATTATTTGAAAAATGGTTATGTTTTACTCAGATATGCCTGTGATTATGTTTTTTGTGTTAGCTGTTTTGTAGCCATATGTACCAAAACAAATTGAAATATTACCGTACTCAACGTAATAAGCGCCCAGGGCACTCTCAAAATTAGAAATAGGGGTCTCTTATAAAAATATGATTTTAGTGGGGAAAAAACAGTTGAAAGATCGTAAATTTCGTGGTGTATGCTGACAGCCTGAAATGATACAAAAGAAAAGTCTGTTCATATTATACACGACAGGTATATCGTGTATAATGAAATTGATTGCCCATAATTAAGGGTGCATATAACACACGAGTGCTACTATTCACAAATAAATATGTCTATGTACATTGATCAATCGGAAGGGGTGTTCACTAGCCAATATATTAACAAATATCGCCGTGGGCGCCTATTAGAGCTTATTACGTCGAATACGGTATTCTGAAAGCCATTTCCCCGAGACTCTTTCATGGAGATGTCTGTTTCCTGCCTTATGGACTTCCTCCATAGATTCTTCATGGGATGTCTTTTATTTTTATTACATTTTACAGAACCAATCTGGGAATTGCCAAGATTTGGTTGTCAGCCTGAGGCTGAGTGTTTCCCACTGAGCATGTCCAGATGAGTGCATCACATGTTCAATTTTTAGAGAAAATCAAAAGCATTCGTGATGTTTCATTCATATTAGTTGTATATACCGTATTCGACGTAATAAGCGCCCCGCTCTATTAAGCGCCCACGGCGATACTTGCTAATATATTGGCTTGTAAACAATCTCAATTAGCACCCCTTCCGATTGATCAATGTAAGACTCTTTTATTCATGTATAATACACACGCGTGTGTTATGTGCACCCTTAATTATCGGCAGTTAATTCCTGGAAAAATATATCTGTCACATATAAACATTTCAGACTGATTTTTTCCCCCACCAAAATACTTTTTTAATAAGAGCCCCCTATTTCTAATTTTGAGAGCGCCCTGGGGGGGCGTATTACGTCGAATACGGTAATTACATAACCTGAGATTTTTTAGTTGGTATGTGAATTTCTTACATTATTCTTATATTCTAAATCCCGTAGGCTTACATTATTAACCCATGTTAGTTGATTTCTTGTACAGTGCCATACAATAATGGTGAATGTAGCTAGTTTTATTATAACCATGGTAACTACATCACAGTGTTTCATTTATTTGGTAGATCATTTGAAATAGCATCCTCTTTATCTCCAGTAAACCTTCACAAACTCTTGGATCCCGTGGTTCTCGTGATCTCAAATTACCTGCCCTTGATTTCCATCAGCCAATCAGAAAGGGAGTTACAAACAACATGTCAGCCAGTCCCACTGATTACAAGACTTTGCTGGAAATTCAACATTGAAATACTGACTGGCATCAAAGAGAAAGCCCTAAAAAATCATTTTGATAATTGGTTGTTAGACTAACATCTAGTCTCTGAAATGAACATATCGTACAGAAAAAAAACAGTTGTTCAGTTATCTTAATAAACATATAGTAAAAGGAGCCCAGTGACTCTCTTCAATTCCTGATGCTGCAGTGATCTAGACTTGCCAAACATTATAGACTTGCATGGGCTGTATTTGATATATTTGTATCAGGGTCTGTAAGACAGACTAGTTGGTTGGTTGGTTTGTTGTTTAACGCCGCACTCAGCAATATTCCAGCTATATGACGGCGGTCTGTAAATAATCGAGTCTGGACCAGACAATCCAGTGATTAATATCACGAGCATCGATCCACGCAATTGGGATCAATGACATGCATCAACCAAGTCAGCGAGCCTGACCACCCAATCCCGTTAGTCGTCTTTTACTCATTTTGATGGGAAGGATATCTTCGTGTCCATTAAAAGGGTGGTGGCATAAGTCCTTCCTTACCCTTTTCCTTTTTCCTTATCTCAACGTTTGCTTGGTCAGTGTAATATTATTAAAAATCAAGGGCAGGTAATTTTAGATCATGAGAACCATGGGAACGAATCCAGGGGTTAGTGTCGGTTTAACGAAATGCTAGTCCTTGAGATGAAGAGGATAAATGTTGATGAGCTTGATTTAGATGTTGTTCTGATGAGAGATGAACTTGATCCATTCCAGGATGTTGAAATGGAAGAAGGAACAGTCATCTGTTAAGATAACTACCTACTGCATCTATATATAAAGTATAGACCAATGTTATTCTTGCCATGGTGACAACATGAGCATCGATCCACGCAATTGGGATCGATGACATGCATCAACCAAGTCA